ACGAAACAGTTTGTCACAGCCCCTCGTTTGTTGTCCTCTTCTCTCTCTCTGCCTACGGTTTACCGGGCAGTTCTGTTTGTGACGATATATATGTAAATTTTAATATTTTTTGGCCTGTCCGGGCAAGTGGTCCCGGGCCACTCTGGTAGCCTAGCCTTTAGCCCCTTTAAAACCAATTTATACGCCCCTTCCCCCCACTTGACAGCCAACTCTCAAAAAAAGAAATGAGCCTGGATTCGGGGTCCTCTGGGAGAGCGCAGAAAACCATTTTTTTTTCTTTTTGATGCCCCAGTCGTCACTCCCAGGTGCCGGCCGGACAGGACTGGCCGGGCATGACAATCTTCCTAGCAAAATGGTATATTACCGATGGGACAACTCTGAACCCACTCTCGAAAGTGCAGATAAGCGTTATCATCAAAGGCCCAGTGAGACATCCCTTCCCCTCCTCCTCTCCCCCCCCCTCTCTCTCTCTCTCTCTCTCTCTCTCCCCCCCCCCCCCCCCCCCCCCCCCCCCCCTCCCTCCCTCCCTTTGTCAAATAATGATCTTGTTTTCAGAAACTCATGCCTGAGACTCTGATCTTCTTTTTCTTTCTTTTTCTTCTTAAACCACCACTACCTTTCAGGCTGGAAGGCTAAGTTGTAAAAGTAACCTATGCCACAGTCTTCGGAGGCGGGCAGAGGCGGGGCGCAAAAGGCTGGCGGCATCAGCCGAAAGAAAACAAAAATCCCATGCTGGCGCTTCGGGCCCCCGTTGGCATGCAGTTCAACTCCGCCTTGGCAGAAAGAGGCTCAGAGGTAGTGGTGGTTTAAGGGTGGGGATTCTGAGGGGTTCTAAGGGGTGTAAAAGAGTCGAAAGGGGTTAACACGAGTGTGCCCAACAAATCAGCCCAGTAAGATACCATTTTTTTCTATTTAAGTAACTTTTTTTGTCTTTTTTGAAGGTGGTAGTAGCTGTGTTTTGCAAACTTTCTCGCATCAGATCCTGTGAGCCTGAAATTGGCGGGAGCCCCCTAAGACGGAAATTGCCATTTAAACCACCCGTTCAAGCCCCCTTCTCTGAGACTTTCGATGGACTGCGAAGGAGGGGCAGTACTTTCGCTGTACTGGCCTGGTGGTGGTACACGAAGGAGGGGCAGCACTTTTGATCTACAAAGGAGGATATTTAGGGTCTTCTGTACTAGCAATTTGTTGAGTTGTTTCATAACTTTCTTGTGTCAGTTCTTGTATCGGAATGCTCTGTGGCATGTCTGGCACTGCAGGTGTGGTTACGGCAGAGGGGGATGCAGGACAGCCCAGACACGATCAATGGATTTCTTCTTACGATGCTTGCTGCTCATCTTTGCACGGCTGCCGGCAATAAAAGGATTGTTCCTCAGATGTCTTCGAACCAAATCTTCCGAGCGATCATCAATTTCTTAGGTGTGTATTATTTTTGAGCACATGGTGGTGGAGGTCCTTGTTGCTTCCCCTCGTGGCACTCACACCTCCTTGCCGAGGTTTCAGTATTGTACTGGCAACTCTTACTTTCGTATGTATACATGGCTGATGTCCCATGGATGTCACGGTCGTCACCTCGTCCTCTCTGCAACCCTTCTTCGCCCTCCTCTCTCCCCCACCATGCTCCTCATGCTGACCGTTATGAATGGTAAGTAAGAAAGGAAAACCCTCTTTCACTACACAGAACTGCATGCATGCTTTGCATCTGCTGTCAGATGCAAGGGATGGGCTCCTCCTGAACCCGCATGTGAATGCCTGGTCGATATTGCTAGGACCCTGTCTGCTGGCCGAGAGTCTAATGGATCATTGGGCTACATGTTGCAACACAGCAAGTGGCTCACAACGGGGAAAACAATACTGTTGCTTGCTGCCATGCCCCAGGCTTCAGTGCCCCCATCTCTCTCTCTCTCTCTCTTTCCCTCTTTTTCTTTCTCTTTCTTTGTGTCTGTGTGCGCATGTGTGATTGCATGCGTGCATGCGTATTTGTGGTGTGTGTGTGTGTGTGTGGTGTGTGTGGTGTGTGCGTGTGTTGTGTGTTGTGTGTGTGTGTGTGTGTGTGTGTGTGTGTGTGTGTGTGTGTGTGTGTGTGTGTGTGTGTGTTGCATACTAGTGAATACTTCACCAAGTATGGGCAGAACCAAAGATCAACCAATATAGGATGAGCATGTATGCAGCGGAAGTCTGAGAAATGGACTGACTCACATAGACTGAACTCATCCAGATATCACTCAACACACAAGCAATCGTGAGATGGTGGGGTCTTAAGCCAATCATAGACGATGCTCAGGCCCTGTACAACCATACACATATGAAAGGTGGGAGGAGAGACGATGGAGGTGGGAGGTATAGGCAGCGCCATATGTCACCGAGATAGAATCCAGTAGGTCACCGATATGGTAGTCCAACATGTCATCGAACAAGATCAGAATGTCGTTGATGGTGGGGTCTGAAGCCAATCATAGACGATGCTCAGGCCCCGTACAACCATACACAGATGAAAGGTGGGAGGAGAGATGATGGAGGTGGGAGGTATAGGCAGCGCCAGATGTCACCGAGATAGAATCCAGTAGGTCACCGATATGGTAGTCCAAAATGTCATCGAAGAAGATCAGAATGTCGTGGACAATAAGTCACCAATGTCGGAGGTACAGAGTCCTAATGTAACCGGTGTTCAATCTGTGATGCCGCCGAGTATCAATCCCAAACATCTCCAAGGTCTCGAATCCGGTAAGTATCACAGCCTCTTACCACCGAAGTCCAAACACTGATCTCTGTCCAACTGGTATCAGAGTCTCCAGTCTGAAGAAGAAGAAGAAGAAGAAGAAGAAGAAGAAGAAGAAGAAGAAGAAGAAGAAGGTCGAAGAAGTCTGAATTAGAAGAAGAAGAGGAAGAAGGAGAAAAAGAAGGAGACGAGGGAAGGAGAAGAGATGGCAGAGCATGGACGGAGATGGCGAGTAGCGCCAGGCCCTTCCTGATGGGACAAGGTGGCGCCTTGGCTGCTGCAGAAGACGGCTGAGCTGCTGGGAGCTATGGCGCTCGTAGCTGCTGGTCAGGTAAGTCCTTCCTCCTCGCTCTCCCGTACTGCAGTGCGCTAAACTTAGCGCTGCAGTTCCAGCGCTGCGCTGAACTCAGAATAGCGCAGCGCGGTCGCTCCTCAATGCCGCTACTCCCTACCTGCAGGAATGGCCGCTGGACCGGCCTAAGTACCGTCCGGTGGCCGGTCGGCCTCAATGCTGGCCTCCTGCGCCGTGGGCTGAACCGTCGAAATGACCGTTCAGCGCAGACCGGCGGGCGGCAGCCTCAAGAGCGCCGCCAGGCCCAAACGGTCATGTCGTTTGGGCCAACCCTGGTCTGCTAGGTGCTGAGGCCCCAACCGGTGGCCTAACAGGGCCAACCGGGAGAAAAATGCCTGGACTTGGTGAGGCCAGCCTGGGTACCCCCTGAACTGGTATGTCGGGCCTGTGAAGGCCCGTGTGGAATCGCAGAAGGTAACAGTGTGTGTGTGTGTGGTGTGTGTGTGTGTGTGTGTGTGTGTGTGTGTGTGTGTGTGTGTGTGTGTGTGTGTGTGTGTTGTGTGTGTGTGTGTGTGT